GTGTGTGTGTGTGTGTGTGTGTGTGTGTGTGTGTGTGTGTGTGTGTGTGTGTGTGTGTGTGTCATGTGTTTCAGAGGCAGTGCAGCAGGCCTCAGGCCCTCTGCTGGTGGAGATACTGAAAGGCCCTTCAGCCAGCCTGGGCATCGGCCTCACAACAACATTATACAGGAGCAAACAAGTTATTATTATCGACAAGATAAAGTCTGCGAGCGTGGCGGAAAGGTGCAACAAACACTTTAAAGGGTTACCACACATTCGAGTATTTCCTGACAGAATCACTCTCACTCCCAGGTGCGGCGCTCTGCATGTCGGGGACATTCTGCTGTCCATAGATGGGACCAGCACCGAGCACTGCTCCCTGATGGAGGCCACACAGCTACTAGCCAGCACCTCAGAAATCCTTAAGCTCGAGATTCTTCCAGCCAGTCAGAGCAGACTTCCCATCCGACCACAGGAAACAGGTACGGCCCACAGGAACAGAACGAGGCCTTCAGAGACTCTACTTATGAGGAGAAATAAATCCGCTGTGAACCAGAAGAGAAGAGACTGAATAAACGAGACCTGCAACTTCTTAGTTACAGTTCTGTTGTTCTCAGACTAGAAAATGTCAAAACGTTATTAAAAGAGGATGATGGCTCTAAATTGAAACAACACCCTGAGTTTTTTTTTAATTCTATTTACATGAGAGAATAAATGTAGCTAATACCTCATGTTGCTGTTGGTGGACAAACATTAAATCTGCAAAGCAAGCAAAGAATTTCCAGGAGAAAAAGCTCATGTAATTTGCTTATCTCTTCAAAACACATGTGATACAGTTTGTAGACATGTTCTCACCTCATCTATTGTGACTTTTCTGGTCTTTGCTTCTTTCTTTTTTTCTTTTTTTATTTAACCTGCAGCTATAAAAGAGCTTGGCTGCCTCTCAGCTGTCTTTTCTCACGAGCTCCGGATCAGGCCGGGTGCGTTTTTGTGTGTGCTGCACACCGATGGCCCCAATCCCGCTGGCTTTTGGGTGCACACTCTTTTATGCATACAAACAAACTACACACAAATGCACACAGCCCCTTTTCTCTGAAAGCCTAGGATCATGTTGTTGCCACATTCTGCAGACTTATTCTTCTGGTCAGCAGCAAGTGGGTGGGGGCTCTTCGCCATGCCTGGACACAAAAAGACAGGAAGAAATGCATGAAAGGAAGAATCAGCAAAAGGAAATAAGATGCAGTTTAACATAATGGATTTCAGATGACTTTGTAAAAAATGTGAAACATATTCACAAGATTTATCTTTGGCTTATTTTTATACAGTCGTATTTGTAGTATTTTACAGTTAAAATATAYGTTTATTAAATAAAGTCTGACGTTACAACTAATCATGGATCCCTTTAAACATTAAAAGTGAATTTTATTGAAACATGCAGAAAATAATCATCGGATGTAACTCTATGACTGATTAACTTTTGCAATCACTCCAACTGAAGATGACTGCCACAGTTWATCAACATGGCTGTACTGTGTGTTGGCTAGAGGCGTCACGTACGCTTCAGAAGACCACTGTGGTACGAGTGTGACACCATATTTGAAGGGGTGGGCTGAGTGTAGACAAGTTTTCATGGATATATTGTATGTCTGCATAGAATCACATAAAAACATAGATACCATAGTTTTTTATTGGTTAGCTTCTATTAGAAACATAATTCATTGCAGATGTGTGTACCTTGACAAAATGTATTTGCCTGAAATGATAATATTTACTGACGAGCATTTCTATCAAATCAAAACAATAGTTGCCAAACTGAGTTTCACTGGCATGTTGACCTAAATATAACATGTCATGGTTACCACATTCAGCTTCACCAGCTAACAATACTGTAGCTGTCCTTGCCCTGAGCAATATGGCCCCTCTCTCTGTCCAAGAAAAGTGACGTGATAGCGCAGCTCATCTGCTGCAACTCAGTCAGTTTTACACATAATGGGCCTCATGCAAGAACATGTTCGTATTCTTATCCTAAATTTCTCTTACTTTTGTTCGTACAAAGGGTTCGTACGAACATGCCACGTCAGATTCAACAAACTCTTCTATCTTCATGAAAAGTGCGTAAATGAGCTGCGTAATTTACACCCGTTCTATCCAGCTGCTCGTGCACGTGACAGGAGATTAACATAATTACCACCCCAAAAACACCATATAAGGCTATGATTCCTGCCTCAGATACAAGGAAGTGTCCATTCATTCATGAGAAATGACAGCGATAATTATAAAAAAGGAGACGTTTCCGAGTTCAGAGATTGAAGTCCGTCTGTCAGAGATCCAGAAAAGAAAATCTGTCATGTTTAGCAGCTGTGGAATAAAATGAGCTGCTAAAAGTATAAACAACTGTGTTAAATCATTTTCATTTATTCAGAAGACACAGCGCTGCGCACCGTACCCCCCACCCCCACCCGCGCGCGCGCGTTCTCAAGTGGTCTCAGA